CTCATGTTGGCAACAAGAGTATAACAAGAGCATAATTGCATTTCCTGTTGTATGACAGAGTTAAAAAATAAACACATCTCAATTTTTCCTAAGAAATTCAAATTAATGGTTCTGAAATGGGGCCGTGAGATGAACATTTCCTGATGCTTCTCAATAGCTCAGATTTGAGTCCAGGCTTTGGAGCCGGTCTTACCTCTATAGGGGGACAATCTACCACCCCAAAACCTGCCACATGCAGGGACTGTCCAGCTGCATATCTTGAAGTAAGTTTCGTAAATTTGATTTGTAAAGTTCTTCCTTACCAAAACCACCGAGTAATAACTGTGCAGGTCACGCGAGCAGAGGAGGTGCAGCATTTTTTGACAGTCCTAAGGGTCACAGATCACAGTGGGGGAGAGATTTTCTGCTGCTCTTGTGAATTAAACTGGGTAGCAATTACTGCCATGGTGCCAAGGGAGTTCAGCTGGCGCAGAAAACTAGAGGAATTCTTGTTCTTTGTAGATCAAGAAAAGTTTGATCCTACTTTCTGGGGGAAATCCAAAGTCGTCTTGGAAACAATGTAATAGGGAGCTGAAGAATCTTTATATTCCTCTGTGCTTTAATTTTTAAACACTCTAGTCTGCAAAAACTGAGAAAATTCCATGCACAACATCCCTACACTTAAAGTCAAAATTTCCTGTTAAGTGATCACTTGTTTTTAGCCGCGCATACCAACTGTTTCTGTTTACTCTACAGCTTTTGTTTTGCTATGCAAAATATTTATCATTTTCATTCTTGTCCTCCACAATATGTGCTAATCCACTCTATTTCATTCCATCATTTAAAACTGCACTCCTAGTTTGCTGTCCAATGCCCCAGTTTCTCCAGTCTGAACACTGGCAGCTATGTTTCAATTTGGTCATATGCTCTACTCACAGAGATACACTTAAAAAAATCAAACTTGCAGCGGGCTTTTGCAGTAACAGCTGTCTGAGATGAACTAGCTTGAAATAACAAGACAGACAAATCAACAGGAAGATACAAAATACAATACACAACACAATTTCCTAAATTAATACATAGTGCTAGAGTTAAGTTGTTATTCCAACATCATACACCATGCATTACACACTTGAAGCTCTAACACCTTCACTTACATGCACAGCAGTTAGAGGTAATTTTTCTCAGACCTACTTTGGTTTGATGCTGTCCCTGAGGTATTAAGCATCGTTGTACTTCCCTAAAACATCTGAAAGCTGCAAGTGCTTACATCTCTCCTTAATATGTCAGTGGGATGCCTAGTGCCACAGTGCTGTTGTGTGCCACTTATCACTCTAACTCACCTGGAACTCAGATTACGAGGTCACAGCCCTATGGTTTTCCTCCCGCAGATGGGTCTTAGTTGCTGTTCTCCCATCGATCTTGCTTCCCATTGCTCCTGCGGCTGCAGAGTCAGAACTCTTGGTACAGTTCCAGTGACTAATTCCTGCATGACTTCCCAGAATATCATGGATGTGTCCATGATGAACATGCTTTCACAAAATATGCGTAGATTGTTAATTCCCTGCAAAATGTACGTGCAACCTAGGGCACCAGAAAGGCCAAAATGTCCCTGCACCCTAGGACCACCCACTATCACGTTGTTTTTGAAAAACCTACACACGGGCAGAAGGATTGTGTAACTTCAGATGCAGCCAAGTGGCAATCCGGTGAGAAATAGCCTAGCACATGAAGTGTCCTCATTACCCACTCTGTTACTTTCTGCCACTTACGAATGATGGAGTCGCCTGGCTACTCTCGGATAAGTTCCATTGTCCTTCCTCTTGTCATCGTGACATATTCCTCTTCTATTCTTCAGGTGATGGTATTTCTGTCACGTCTGGGGAGGTATTGAGATGAGAGACCTGGCAGTGCATAACATCCAATTGCGTTCTGTGCTGCTTGTAGAGAACATTCTGATCTTCACATATCGGAATAGCGCAAAGCACATGGGAATTTGGGTGTGCGTTTGGGTTTTGTTCGTTTTGTTGGTAAAACATAGTGTCTCCCATAACCAGCTCTTGACAGTGGTTTGGCAAAAGAGAAAAATGGGCTGTATGAAAAAAATCAATATTGAAACTGCTTCAGGGTACCCCCAGAAAAATGTATTTATTGAAGTCTGAAATAGCTTAGTAAAAAAACGACAAAATTATGGCAGAAAAATTCTTCCTTCCGTGAGTCAGGAATCGCTCAAAGCTGTGTGGAGATTTTACTCTTTGCTTGCCTTGCTCTTCCACAGATACCCTGTGGTTTCATGCTGTGTGCCTACAGTGCTTAATTAACTACCAAGCCCTAACCCCCATACCGGGGAGACACAACGAAGAGCAGCTTAGATTCTCCTTTCTCTAATCTCACAGCAGAAATTCATGTATATATGAGACAATGGAGAAAAGCTAACCTGGAGAATAATTGCTGCAAATGCATTAACGTATTTGTCCCCGGAAGAAAGGAGGGAAAGAAAGACTGTTTGCATTGCAGCGCTGCCACTGGCTCATTAACAAGTGGAATTAATTAAGATGTCCTGACCACTCCACTGCAGGGAAATCAACTAGCAGAGATGCACTCTCGTCCGTGATGGCTAACTCATTTTATTTCTCTGCAGAGAGAAATGCACATGGCACAAGATTTCTTAGTGATGTATTTGAGAAGAAGACCTCTACCCCACTCCGAGGGCTTCTTGGTCCTCTCCCTTCCTCCCTCCCTGGAATGCTGTCATTCATGTGTATTCAATGTAATATAAGTACCAGGAGGAAGAAATGCCCAGTCTAGCAACCAGTCTACTGCGATTCAGAAAGGGGTAGACCTGATTACAGGATGTTAAAAAATGACCCAGAGTTGTAAAGCTCAACATTTATTAATGAGTTTGTTTTCTTCAGGGAATAGATTAATTGATGTTTGCCCTTAGAAGACAGATGAAGAAAACTTGTCCCTGAGAGAATGCTGTGAGCACGCAGAAATATTAGCTTCAAAAAACAAGCTGCATGCACTGTGCGAGAAGAGGCTGGAAGTGACTGCCTCCTGCCTTCCCAAGAAACGTCACTGCCCTCAGCACAACTGCAATGTGACAGCTAAGTGAAGTTTCCTGTAGCATCTTCACTGTCATTCTTCCAAGTAGGGGGCTTGCGCTGCACGCGGAATTGTGTGTTAAGCCTAGGTTATCTGGTGAGTTCCGTCCTTTACCCTCAGGTCTCTCACAAGCATACTTTCGGATGGAGCAATTCACTGTTCCCAACTGCTCCATATACAAAAAGATTAATACAACAGCCTGCTCTGGACCATTCATGTCAGTTAATTGTTATGATGGGTCTCTCTAAGTCATGTGGGATGGTTTGTAATGTGTCATTGCATCACTCAAATTATTCAGGGAAAAGAATGATGAGTGGTTTGTATTCCAGTGAATAGCAAATACTGCTATTCTTATGCCAATCTTAGGTTTGGGCTTTGTGTCAGTGACAAGCCTATTTGATGACAATAAAGGAAGGGAGAAAATGGCCAAGGAGAGTATCTTTGTTTTCTGCCCCTCATTCCAGTCTCCCTGGAATGTGAGGAGCAGCACTGAAGAAAGAGAAAGCACTTAAAGCATTGAAACAGACTGATAAAGCCTTTGTGATAAGCTGCTTTTCTGCTCATTTGGAAGGTCAATGGTCCAGTTTTTCTCATACTTTTTAACGTGATAAAGATCAGATGTCCAAAAGTATCACCGATTTGACTGGGTCTCTGCTCAGTATAACTAGTAACTAAATTTAGGAGTCACTTGAATCAGCAGACGATTACCAGCAGTTGCGGGACCTGTTCAAGCAGACAACTCCATGCTCTCTGTGCGCTTTGGCCAGAAAAGGAGCTCACCCATACATTTCCCCAGAGATTGGTCCAGGAAGCTGGGAATGGAAATAGTAGGAGAGCTGGTGCTGGTTCTCTTTGTCTCCATTTTATCCTCTATCTTCTAGAGGAAATCCAAGAGGCATCCAAAGCAGAGAAGGAAATCTCTATTCTGCCTGTACTTCTGAGTGACCAGCTGAGGACACAAGTGACTTTCCTAACTTCTGTTTCTGTTCACAGATGACATAACACTTCATCACCTCACTATCTCTAAACCTATCGTGCTATCACGTTAGGCATCAGAACTGGAAAGTAAGTGCCCGCTGGTTTACCCAAAGTACGGTGCGTGCAAGATTTAGCTTCCTTTAGTACCGTTTTTCTGTAGTTTACCTTGAAGAGCCTTAAAATGCAGAGCCATGCTGCTTTAGTTTTCAATCTGTTGACAGATTTAATCATCAATGTACAGATTGGCTTTTAGGTACACAGAATGAGATTACAGTAGAGAGACCAGTTTTGAACATTCAAATGAAGATAAAGTTAAGTTTAAACTGGCTCCACAGCCAACTGGCAGCCCTGAGCTGCCTCAGCTCAGATCCATCCTGCACTGAGGTTACACAGGAATCTGAGATTATGGGTCTGCAGAGTCAGCTGCCAGGAGAGTGGCTGGTGTTACAGATGGAAATGATCTAATTTCAGTGGGAAGACTGTGGAATAAGAAATTACAGGACTGGGCTCCTGACACACATGATTTCAAATGAGAAAATAGTAATAGGAGAGAGGGGGAGAAAAAAAAATACAACACCCACTCCCCAAGTTAAAACCAAACATCAGGAAGCAGTGGGAAGGCTTCCCTTTATATACCCTCTCTGCTGCGAAGTACATCAGCTGCTAATGACAACGGTGATCAGTGAGGTTACTCTACAGGAGAAGGCAAGGGCAGATCACAGCTGATAAGCCTTTTCCAGCTAAGAAGCATTACAAACAGAGCAAAACCTCCTCCGCAAGCATGATTCAGGCTAGTGAGTAGAAATCCCAACTATCTGCTGTCAAAAACTGGGGGCAGCAGTCTCCAGCATACCAGAAGCACACACTTGCTAGAAGCCAAACAGATGAGGCACACAGAGAAAAATAAAAGCAAGAAGAGAGAGAATGAGGTAACTTACGGCAATGAGCTGGTAGGAGTTGTTCATCATGGCTATGAGCATGTTCAGCAGCACAACAAGGGAGATGACGTTGTAGGTCCCAAACATAGTGGCCCCAACAAATTCTGTGAACTCGTGTCTGGCTTTCACATTGGTGACGTAGAGGTTCAGCA